CATATTACGAATCTTTCGCCAATAGTACATCCATCTAGTGTCATCACTCGTGTAGGTAGGAGAGAAGGCTACGCCCTTCTTCCCCTACTGTTTTAACACCAACCCCACCACACGGTTTTTCGCTGATATCACCGTCATTATTTCTAACTGGAATTACCAACACGCACACTTCATCATCCACCCCGTCTATCTATCTGTTCATAAGTTAAGTTTATTGCTGTCTGGATTCACGAAACATCTTTCTTTTGGTTTTACACTTTTTTTTTTTTTTACTACATTATTTTTTATCTTTTTTTTTTCCCTTCATTCATATACATTCAAAAAAAAAAAAAAGTGGCTAGTAGTTGTTTTTTAGCAACGATGTGTTGATGCCGTGGCCTAAGCACAACGGGTTCTGTTCGTCATTTTTCCTTTTTTTTCAAGCAAACCAGTGATTGGGATCGTTATTTTATTTATTTATTTATTCATTTAATTTATTTATTCATTTTTTTAAAATCTTCTGGGATTTCTACCCACTTCACGACGACACGATTCTATGAACAGCAAGATGGAAGAAGAACTAAAATGTCCAGTCTGTAATCGGTTCTTTTGTAATCCGATACTATTGCCGTGTTTCCATTCCTTGTGCACGGTATGCGCTGTTCAGATACAAGATCTTCTACCCCCAGCCGGGCAGCAGCATCAACAATCACAGACACAGAACATGGCCGGAGGTTCCTGTGGGAACCCAGGTAACTCCGGGATCCTGGATGAACCTGGAGCCGGTTCTGTCGTTGGATCGGAACAGGATCTACCTGATATCGATAAACTTAGTATTGTCAGCGAAACGGATAGTGGCGTTATTTGTAACAGTCGACCCAACAGCTATATAGGAACCCCAGGCCTGAGTAGTATATTTTTCCAGGTCACTCAAGGGGCCGTCTTTAGTCTGCGGTGTCCCGTTTGCAAAAAGACCATTTACCTGGATGAACATGGAGTTCAGTCCCTACCGAAAAAGTTGTGTCTTGGAATCGATGGTCGAGTTCCAAAACCCCCCCCCCCCCCCCCCCAAAAACCCCCCCTTTTTTCCCCCCCCTTCAAAAAATTTTTTCCCTTTCCATCCCCCCCCCCCCAAAACCCCCCCCCCCCTTTTTTCCCCCCCAAAACCACCCCCCAACCATCCATCCCCCCCCCTTTTTTTTAAAAAAACCCCTTTTTCCCCAAAAAACCCTTTTTCCCCCCCCCCCCCCCCCCACCCCCCCCCCCCTTTTTTTTTCCCCCCCCCCCCCCCTTCCCCACCCACCCCCTTAACCCCCCAAAAACCCCCCCCTTTCCATTTTTCCCACCCCCCCCCCCTTTTCCTCCCGAAAAATTTGGTTTTTTTTAAAAAAAATTTCCCCCACCTTTTTTTTTTCCCCCCTCCCCCAACCCCCCCCCCCCTTTTTTCCCCCCTTTTTTTCCCCCTTCCCCACCCCCTTTTTTTTTCCCCAAACCCCCCCCCCTTTCCCCCCCCCTTTTTTTTTTTTTTTTCCCCCCCCAAAAATTTTTCCCCCAAAAATTCCCCCAATTTTTTTTCCTCTACCAACCCCCCCCCCCCCCCTTTTTTTCCCCTTTTTTTTAAAAAAAAAACCCCCCTTTCCATTTTTTCCATCAAACCCCCCTTTTTTCCCCCCCCCCCCCCAAAAAATTTAAAAAATTTTTAAAACCATCTACCCCCCTTTTTTTCCTTCCCCCCAAAACCCCAAAACCCCCAACCCCCCCCCCTTTTTTTTCCCCCCAAACCCCCCCCCCCTTTTTTTTTTCCCCCCCCCCCCTTTTTTCCCCCTTTTTTCCCCAAAAATTTTATTTTTTTTTCCCCCAAAACCCCCAAACCCCCCCCCCCCTTTTTTTCCACCCATTTTTTAAAAAAAAATTTTTTCCCCCAACCCCCCTTTTTAATCAAAAAACCCCCCCCCAAAACCCCCCCTTAAAAAAAAATTTTTTTTTTTTAAAAAAACCCCAAACCACCCATCCATTCCCCCCCCTTTTCCATCCCCAAACCCCCTTTTTTTTTTCCCCCCTTCCTTTTTAAAAACCATCCCCCTTAAACCCCCCCAAAAAAAGTTTTAAAAAATTTTTTCCCCAAAATCACCCCCCCCCAACCCCCCCTTTTTTTCCCCCCTTTTTTTTTCCCCCCTTTTTTCCCCCCCCCCCAAAAACCTTTAAACCCATCCACCCATCCACCCCTTTTCCCCCCCCAAAACCACCCCCCCCAAAAAAAATTTTTTAAAAATTTTTTTCCCCCCCCCCTTTTCCCCCAAAACCCCCCCCCCCCCCCCCTTTTTTTTTTTCCCCCCCTTTTAACACCCACCCCCCCCTTTCCCCTTTTTTTTCCCCCCCAAAAAAAAAAAAAATTTTTTAAAAAATCCCCCCCCCCCCTCAACTTTCCACCCACCCTTTTTTCCCCCCCCAAAATCCCCCCTTCCCCCCCCAAATTTTCCCAACCACCCACCCACCCACCCACCCACCCATCAAATTTCCACCCCTTTCCCCCCCCTTTTTTTTTCCCCCCCACCCCTTTTTTAAAAAAAATTTTTTAAAATTTTTCCCCCCCCCTTCCATTTTTTTTTCCCCCCTTTTCCCCCCCCCCCAAAATTTCCATTTTTTTTCCCCCCCTTCCTTTTCCCCCCCCCAAAAAAAAACCCCTTCAAAAAACCCTTTTTTTTCTTTCCCCACCTTTTTAAACCCCTTTTTAAAAAAAATTTTTTTTTTTTTTTTTTTCCCCCCAACCCCCCCAAAAACCCCCAACCCACCCCCCTTTTTTCCCCCTTTTTTCCCCCCCCCAAAACCCAAAAAATTTTCCTTTTTTTTTTTCCCCTTCACCCATAAAAACCCCCCCCAAAATCCATCCCCCCAAACCCCCCCCCCAAAATCCCCCAAAACCACCCAAAAAACCCCCAAAAAAACCCCCCCCCCCAACCCTTTAACCCATCCCCCCCAACCCCCCCCAAAAAAAATTTTTAACAATCCATCTCCATCTATCCCCTTTTTTTAAAAACCCCCCCAAACCTTTCCATCCACCCACCCCTTTTCATCCACCCCCCCCCCCCCTTTTTTTTAAAAAAAAAATTTTTTTTTTTTTAAAAAACCATCCACCCCCCCCCAACCCCCTTTTTCCCCCCCAAAAATTTTTTTTAAAAAACCCCCTTCCCCCAAAACCCCCCCCCCCCTTTTTTAAACCTTAAAAACCCCCCCCCCCCCCAAAAACCCCTCTACCCCCAAAAAAAAATTTTTTTAAAAAAAAAACCCCCCCCCCCCCTTTTTTCCCATCCATCCATCCACCCCCTTTTTAAAACCCCCCTTTTCCAAAACCCCCCCCCCCCCTTTCCCCCCCCAAAACCCCCAAAAACCCCCATCCATCCATCCCCCCAATCCATCCATCCCCCCTTTTCCCCCCCCCCAAAACCCCAACCCCAAAAAAAACCCCCCCAAAAAAAAAAATTTTCCCCCCCCATCCTTTCCATCCCCCCCTTTCCCCCATCCCCATCCCCCCCCCCCACCCCCCTAAAAAACCCCCCCTTTTTCCCTTTTTTTTTTTTTCCCCCACCTTTCCCCCCCCCCCCCTCTTTTCCCCCCTTTTTAACCCCAATCTTTTACCCAACCCCCTTCCTTTAACCCCCCCCCCTTAAAAAAAAATTTTTTCCCCAAAACACCCATCCTTTAACCCCCCCAAAAACCACCCACCCCCCCCCCCCAAAATCCCCCTTAAACCCCCTTTTTTTTTTCCCCCCCCTTTTTAAAAGGTCCCCCCCCCTTCCCCCACCCCCCCCCCCCAAAAACCCTTCCCCCCTTCCTTTAACCCCCCCCCCCCCTTCCCCCAAAAAAACCCCTTTCCCAACCCCCCCTCCTCCAAACCCCCCCCCAAATTTCCCCCCCCCCCCCCTTTTCCCCCCCCTTTCCCCCAAACCCCCTTTCCTTTTTAACCCCATCCATCCCCCCCCCTTTTTTTCCTTTCCATCCCCCCGGTTTTTTTCCCCTCTTTTTCCCCCTTTTTTCCCCCCTTTTCCCCAATTTTCCCCCCCCAAAAAACCCCCCCCCCCCCCCCTTTTTTTCCCCTTTCCCCCCATCCCCCCTTTCCCCCAAAAACCCTTTAAAAACCCCCCCCAAAAACCACCCCCCCTTTTTCCCCCCCCCCCCCCAACCCCCCAAAAATTTTTTTTCCCCCCCCCCCCCCCCCCCCCCCCCCCCCCCCCCCCCCAAAACCCGTCCCCCAACCATCCCCCCCCCCCCCCCCCCATCCCCCCCCCCAAACCATCCATCCATCCCCCCCCAAACCCAACCCCCCCCCCCCCCCCCCCAAAAACCCCCCCCCCCACCCCCCCCCCAAAAAAAACCCCCTTTTTTCCCCCCCCCCCATCCATCCACCCCTTTTAAAAACCCCCCCCCCCTTTTTTTTTTTTTTTTCCCCCCCAAAAAAAATTTTCCTTTTTTTTCCCCCAAAAAAAACCCCCCTTTCCCCCTTTTTTTCCCCCAAAATTTTTAAAAACCCCTTCCCTTTTCCCCCCTTTCCATCAAACCCCTTTTTTTTTTCCCCCCCCCTTTTTTTTCCTTTTCCCTTCAACCCCCCCCCCCCCCCTTTCCCCCCCCCCCACCCAACCCCCCCAATCCCCCCCCCCCCCCCCCCCCCCCCCCCCCCTTTTTTTCCATCCTTCCCCAAAAAAAAACCCCAAAAAAAAAATTTTTTTTCCCCCCCCCAAAAACCCCCCCCCCCCCCCCCCCCTTTTTCCACCCCCCTTTCACCCATAAAACCCCCTTTTTTTTTTTAAAAAAAAAAATTTTTAAAAATTTTTCCCCTTTAACCCCCCCCTTTTTTCCACCCATCCCCCCCCCAAAAAATTTTTTTTCCCTTTTTTTCCCCCTTTACCCCCCAAAAAACCCCCCTTTAAACCCCTTTTTTTTTTTAAAAAATCCCCTTTCCCCAAATTTTTTTAAAACAAACCCCCCCAAAAACCCTTTAAAATTTTAAAAATTTTTCTTTTCCC